ATGTATTTTTATCGATTATTGTACTAAATAAAAAAAAAAATGCATGGAATTTTAATTTGAATAGTAAAAGGTCGCTCGAAAAAATCTAAACTAATGCACTAATAAATTGAAAAAAATTATGAGCGAACTTTCAAAATTCAAATTTTAAACTGAAATTTTCAGAAACTTATTTTTTTTTAGTCTATAAAATTATACCGGAACGAAAAAAAAAATTAAAAAAAAAAAATCGATTTTTGACGATTTTTGAAATTTTGAAAAATTTGGAGTGACCTCTTAAAAATTTTTTTTGAGCTGTCCTTTGGTGAGGGCTCTTAAAACATCAAAAACTAACATTTTTTCACTCGAGACTCAAAAAAAAAATAGTCGGTTTTTTTGCGCCACCCTAATATATATGTATATATGAAAAATATATGAAAATGCATGTAGGTACTCAAATAAAAGCTCTTGATGAGTGAAACATCGGAATGAGCTTATATCTTTAAAAACGTCAATATTTAAGAAAGTACTGTGCAATTTAACAAAAGTCATTATTTAATAAAGCAAAATTTTATTTATTTATAGTTTACAAGTCACGACAGTCACATAGTGACTGTGAGGTTGCTAGTAATTAATTAAAAATATAAATTTTCATTTTTAGATTGTCGATAACACAAAAAAAGCAGTTCACGTCAGCAGTAACGTCGTATTAAGTGGAGTAAAAAAAGTCGGTAATAAAATCAAGGGTGGCTGGAACTTCGCTGACAATGTCGTTGATGGAAGCTTGAATTTGGCTAAACAAATCGGATCTCTAGGGTACAAAATAGTGACAGTCGTACCAAAGAGCTTGAACGACGTACTCCTGGACATTGTCGAAAAAGGACAAAAAAAATTGACGGAAAAACTTGAGAATGAAAGAAACAAGGATAAAGATAAAAACAAGGACGAAAATAAAAACAAGGACGAAGATAAAAACAAGGACAGCACAACGAAAGCTCCAGAGACTACTGATGGAGAATTGTTCATCTACCTGAACAACTTGAAAATTCCAGTGACCCCTGAGCAAATAGTTGAGGTCGCCAATGTTCTCAAGGGCACCAAGGATCATTTCCCACTTGTGGCCGACCCTCCTCCACAACCATACTTCGTTCTTATCAACCACGACGAAGCCCATGTCCTCAATTCTGATCAGCTTATTGAGATCGGAGATGAGTTGGAGCAAGCAAAGAAGCAGGCTGAGGAAGACGCAAAAGTAACTCCATAATTATTATTTTTATTTATTTAATTTCACTCATTTTTAATTATAAAAACAATTACTGTGTTCATTTATTTAAAAATATTTTTGTAAGAAGTTTATTTATTTAATTATTTGTATTTTTATTTATCAATAAATTATAATTATTTAAAATATTTTTTAAGCAATTCATTTATTTAATTATATGTATTATTTTTCATAATTATTAAAAATATTTTAATTACAAAATATCAAGAATTTTTTATAGAAATAAAATTACAGAACATTTTTATTAAAATTTAAAAATTATGCGCTATTTTACTGCGCATGCGCGCAGAATGTCAAAAATGCGCATGACAGCTAGAATACAAACCCAACCTAGAAGTTTAAAAACTGATAAGGTAATGTCTATAAAAAAGTGTTCTATTTAAAAATAAAATAATTATTAAAAAAGAAAAATGAGTGCGAAATTTATCTTATTGGAAACAATAGACATCTTCGGAATTTTTCCGCACTACCAGACACTGCTCGGAGCGTTTCTGATCCTGTGGTTGATATGGTTGTTTGCAAAACGTCGTTACAACGCAGCAAGTTCATCAAGACAGCCCAGTGAGGAGCAAGTCCTCGCCAAGCTGTCAATCTGGCACCCGGAGCCTTTGATCGCCGAGCTGCAGAATCCGGCTCACCCGTCGCTGAATCCACGAGTGGTTTCCTCGGTGTCGGGAAAGCGGATCACCGTTGACGGCAAAGACTGCCTCAACTTGGGAAGTCACAACTACTTGGGGCTGCTCGGGGATGAGCGAATCAAGGAGAAGGCTGCCAAGACGGTGCAAAAATACGGAGTGGGTTCCTGTGGCCCCAGGGGATTCTACGGGACCGTCGACGTGCATCTGGAGCTGGAGGAGCGGCTGGCTAAGTACATGGAGGCTGAGGAAGCTATAGTCTACTCCTACGGGTTCAGCACCCTGGCCTCGGCCATTCCGGCGTATTGTAAGCGTAAAGATATTATTTTTGCAGATGAAAAGGTTAATTTTGCCATTCAGAAGGGCCTGGATGCCACCAGGTCGCCCGTTCGCTACTTCAAACACAACGACGTCCAGGATTTGGAACGCTTGTTGCTCGAGCAAGCTGCTGTTGACAAGAAAGACCCGAAGAAAGCAAGCAAAGTGAGGAGGTTCCTCATCGTCGAGGGGATTTACATCAACACTGGACTCATTTGCCCCCTCCCTGATCTGGTCAAACTCTGCAGGAAGTATAAATTAAGGATTTTTGTTGATGAATCCATCTCATTTGGTACTTTGGGGAAAAATGGTAAAGGTGTTACTGAACATTTTGATGTTCCACGTCATGAAGTCGACATGATAATGGGTAATTAATTTTTTTTATTATAATTACCTAGGGTAATTGTTTTAATGTAGCTCTAATGTGGTGATAAAAATTGAGAGGCATCTGATAATTTTTTTAATAAATAAACTAGCAACCTTGCAGTCGCTGTGTGACTGCCGTGACTTGAGAACTATAAATAAATAAAATTTTGCTTTATTAAGTAATGAATTTTCTGAAATTGCACTGTACTTTCTTAAATATTGACGTTTTTAAAGATATAAGCTCATCACAATGTTATACTCATCAAGAGCTTTCATTTGAGTACCCACATGCATTTTGGATATATTTTTTATATATACATATATATAATATATATAAATATATGAAAAATTGATGTGGGTACTCTAATGAAAGGTCTCGATGAGTGTAATGTCGGGATGAGCTTATATCTTTAAAAATGTCAATAGTTCACAAGATAAAAAGTCATTTCTTAATCATTTATCTAGAGGTAGAGCATTTTCAAATGCAGCCTAAATACTTATCATAATAAATTGACTATTGGTGAGAAAGAAACGAAACCTTAAAAAGGCACAAATTCAAATCAAGACCTTTGCAATAACACTAAATTTCACTAAAAAAACCGATTTTATCATTATGAATATCCTGGATACAAAATTTTTCTTAATCTCTTAATAATATAGATTATAGTAAAAATAATTCATTTAAAAGTTTCTTTTTTTAGAAACCCCGAAAAATTGTTAATGCAATTTTTGCAAATAATCTTTTAAATCTGATTTATATTTAAAGGAAAATAAAAAAAAAGTAATCATATGTCTGATAATTTCAGTGTCATTAAAAATTATTATTAACAAAATTATTAAAAAAAAATTTTCATTTGTAAAAAACTTTAAAAACTAAGTGCAATTTCTTAATAATGTTTTTTAGTTATAATTTAATAAATTAAGAAATATAAATATAAAAAAATGATATAAATATTTGACTGGTTATCGAAATTAACAAAAAAATACTTTAATAAATTAATTTTTCAATTTTTTATGGTCAAAAAAACTTTTGAGCTCTATATCAAATAATTATCTTAATTAAATATATTTTATTAGACTTAGATAAATGATTTTTATAATTTTAGGTTCCTTAGAATGGGCAATGGGATCAATAGGAGGATTCTGTGTCGGCTCGACCTACGTAATCGAGCATCAACGACTATCTGGACTCGGTTACTGTTTCTCAGCATCCCTTCCACCATTGCTAACAGCAGCAGCAATTACATCTCTCGACATAATCGAAGAAGACCCGAGTATATTAAAAGCTCTCCAGAATAATTGCCGCGCCATGCAGAAAAAGTTAGGCGAGCTCAAATACTTTGAGCTTTCAGCGCTCCCAGAGTCGCCGGTCAAGCACTTGTTTTTGAAAAATAGCTTCGAGAGAGCTCAGGAGGAAGAGCTGCTGATGAAAATTAGCGACAAGTGTATCCAGAATTACTTAGCAGTCATTCCACCAGTTTATTTGAAAGCCGAGCGGGAACTACCTCGTCCCAGTTTGCGCTTGTGTATTTCAAGTACCTTGGATAATCAAGACATGGAGTTTGTTGTCCAGACTCTTGAAAAATGTTCTAAAGAAATACTGGATTAATGCCTTACAATTTATAAAGCTTTTTTATTTACAATTTTTTAATTTATTGCTATAAATAGACCAATAGAAAATATTGCATATCAAATAAAAAATCACACGCTCAGTATTTTTTTAAAAAATTACTATTGAAATGTTGAATTTACTGTCATATTTTTTTGCATAATAAAAATTTACAATTAATTATTCTAGTGTTTTACGTTATTTATTTATAATAGTAAAGTTAACCGACATTTTTGATGTTTTGATTTCTTTTTATTTATTAAATTATGACAACAAAATATTTTTTAAAAATTGCACTTAAAGTTTTTTGCAAATAGAATTTTTTTTTATTTTTTTGTGATAAATTTTTTTATTAAAAAGAATTCTAAAAATTTTTAGATGTCTGCTATCTTAATTTTCATTATTTATTTTTTACTGAAAAAATTTTAATTTTTCGCGCTTTTAAAATTTTTACCCCAGCGCTTCTGTGGGGGAAAATTTAAACTAAAAGTTCAAGTGTGGCCACGTTTCCTTTTCCTCTTTCATTACGCCCGTTTACTTTGTTGAGGTAAGATGCATTCGATTATTTTTAATTATTTACAAACAATTAATAATTATTATTAAAAAATAATTACTCTAAAAAAAAACTCAATACATTTTTGCGCAATTGTTGGCTAAAAAAATTGAATATTTTTTTTATTTAATTATGTATTTTTGTGATTAAATAAATTTATTGAGGTTAAGTGACCATGTGGTTGAAAAAACTCTTTAAAATTTAATTTATATGATACATAAAAATAAAAAAATAAAAATTATTGTTTATAATGATGATAAATTCATGCGTCTGATATGTCGATCAGTCATGTAGAAGCTAGAAATAGCTGAACCCCCTACGTGCCGGCATAGAAGTGGAAGAACGCGCTGAAGTGCTGTCTGAATCTCAATAATTAATAAAATGAATTATTTATTTATTTACTTGCTAATAAATAAAATTGAAAATGATGTATTAATTTCTTAATTATACTTTCAGTCCTTAAACTCTGGTAAGGTATCCCTATTCTCACTCTCAAGATGGGTAGGGAGGACAAAGCAACCTGGAAGTCAAACTACTTCTTAAAACTTATTGTAAGTATTTGAAAATAAAAAAAAAAAATTGATTTTATTAAATTTAAATTAGAATTAACTTGGCTGATATTTAATAATTTTTGTAACAAATAAATAATGCCAAAAAAAATTGACCTGTAGAGTTTTTAAAATATTAAAAATGCAATTTTTTAAAAACTATTGTTTAGAACAATTTTTCTTTGTTAAAAAAAAAAAAAAAACTAAAAAATGTTTAAAAATTAACTTGGCTGATATTCAATAATTTTTGTAAGAAATAAATTATGGTAAAGGAAAAAATCAACATTTGGAAATTCAAAAATATTAAAAATGCTATTTTTTAAAAACAATTTTTTAGAACAAATTTAAAAATTAATTTCGTAGATATTAGATCATTTTTGTTACAATTAAAATACAAAAAAAAAATTGACTTGTGGAGTATTTTAAAAATAAAAAATGCAACTTTTTAGAACAAATTTTTTTGCTAAAAAAAAAAAAACTGAAAAATAAATGAAAATTAATTTAGTAGACATTTGATATTTTTTGCTCCAATTAAATTACAAAAAAAAATTCTTATGTAAAATAATAATTTTTTAGAACAAATTTAATTGCTAAAAAAAAATAGTTAAATGACTGCTAACTTGAATCCTATAATAATCCTAATATAAAATTGAGATGAAATGTATGTGGCATCAAACTATTCGTAACGTGATTGGTCAAATATATCATAAGCATGAAAATATATGCAAACTCTATAGTCAAAGCGCGCGTAAATTCAAATTCTAGTATCATAAAAACAAAGCTAATTGTATATTTTAATCACAGCAATTGTTGGACGATTACCCAAAATGTTTCATCGTCGGCGCAGACAATGTTGGTTCAAAGCAGATGCAGCAGATCCGTATGTCCCTGCGTGGAAACGCAGTGGTGCTCATGGGAAAGAACACCATGATGCGCAAAGCCATCCGCGGTCACATTGAGCGCAACGCAGCTTTGGAGAAACTTCTTCCCCACATTCGCGGAAACGTCGGCTTCGTCTTCACCCGCAGCGACCTTGTTGAAGTCCGTGACAAGCTTCTGGAGAACAAAGTCCGCGCTCCAGCTCGTGCTGGTGCCATCGCGCCCCTCAGTGTCATCATTCCGGCCCAAAACACCGGTCTGGGTCCCGAGAAGACATCTTTCTTCCAGGCCTTGAGTATCCCCACCAAGATTTCCAAGGGTACCATTGAAATCATCGTAAGTTTTTTTAAATTTATCAAAAATAATTTTAATATAGTGTCACAAACTTTAATAATTATATTTTTAGAACGATGTCCACATCTTGAAACCCGGTGACAAAGTCGGAGCTTCAGAAGCAACTCTTCTGAACATGTTGAACATCTCTCCGTTCTCATACGGTCTGATGGTCGAGCAGGTCTACGACTCAGGTACCATCTTCGCCCCGGAGATCCTGGACATCAAGCCCGAGGACTTGAAGGAGAAATTCATGGTTGGAGTCGCCAACTTGGCTTCGGTTTGTTTGGCTGTCGGCTACCCAACTGTTGCCAGTGCTCCTCACAGCATTGTCAACGGATTCAAGAACTTGTTGGCTCTCGCCGCCGTCACCGACGTTGAATTCGAGGAAGCCAAGACCATCAAGGAGTACATCAAGGTACATATTCTAAAAACTTTCCTTTAAGTTTTTAATAATTTAATTTTTTGATAAATATTTACAAGTGGGGTCAACCATTTTAATTTTCATTTTTTTCAACAGAATTTCTATTTGATTTTATTTATATATTTATATATTTTTTTTTTAAATTAAAAAAAAATGAACAGTTTAAAAGAAAAGTTGATTATCACAATTTTAACAAATTTTCAAAAAAATTTATAAATTTTTCAGAAAATTGTAATATTCATCTTTTTTTTTTTTTAAATTGTTCGTTTATTTATGTACTTTTCGAAAAAATATACATCAAAAACATAAAAAAAAAAGAAATAGAAATTTTATCCAAAAACATGAGAGCCAAATTTTTTTTCCAACTTTTGAAGGCAAAAAAGCTATCGAAATATTATTTTTTTCTTTCACGACATTTTTTATCATAAATGCGTCGTAAAAACAAGCAGAATGAAAAAAAATAAAAAAATGTTAATTTTTCACCTAGATATGACCAAGAATAGGTTTGACCACACTTGTAAATAATTACCAAATATTTTTAAAATTTCTGCATGTGAAATTTTTTTTCTAAATTTTTTTCATTATAATTTAATTATTATAAAAATCTAAAAAATTTTTACATGTCAGTTAAATTCATTATCACAATTTTCTATATTAATTTAATTTTGTTAATTCAGGACCCGAGCAAATTCGCTGCCGTCGCCGCCGCTCCAGCAGCCACAACCGCTGCTGCTGTCCCAGCAGCTGATAAAAAGGAAGAAAAGAAAGAAGACTCCGAATCCGAGGATGATGACATGGGTTTCGGTCTTTTTGACTAAGTCCAAAGTTATTGAGGATCTATGTGATTTGTTGCTGATGATTTTTTACCAGCGTCTAATAAATCCAACTTTCATTTAAAAAAAAATTATATTTTTTTAATCATCCTTCCCAATTTAAGTTTATATCTTTATACTTAATGAAAATTAAATTAGCCGATATTTTAAAATTTTTTTTTGTTTCATTTATTAAATTAGAACAGTAAAATATTTTTTAAAAATTGCATTTACAGTTTTTCACAAATGAAAATTTTTTTTTATTCTTTTATAATTTTTTTTAATGAAAAAAAATTCTAAAAATTTTTAGATGTCGGCTGGCTAACTTAATTTTTATTTATTCTTTTATCTAATCTTATAATTGAAAAAAAAAAAATCTTAAGACATTATACACAAAAAAATGAAATTTTAATTTATTAAGACATCTCTTCCGTAATTCTTATCAATTATAATGATAAGTTTAATATAGTCATGGCGCCGATAAAGTAGTAAATTTATCGCAAGTGATCATGGGACTATTTTATATAAATAAATATATATATATTTACACGTAGTAGGAAATGGAAGTAGTCGATAGTTTACATCGAGCCAACTACAATCTACAATCTACAACCACTGGCAGTTAACAATTGGGTTTACCGGAGTGTTCATCATTATTTGTATTAAAGTTTTATATTAGTTGTTACTGCTATTCAATAAGCCGCTTATTTCAGTTATTAATAACTTGTGCGAGGTAGTCACTCGGCTGGAACCTAAGCTAAAAATTTACTGTATTATTATTATTATAAATAAAAGGCATGGGTTTGCTAACCGAAGGTCATCCTATTAGTTGGGAAGAAACAAAAAAACTTTCTAAACACGTGAGAAAACATGGAATAATTCAGTTTATAAATTTGTATAAAAAATTGAGAGATCGAGAGGGTGATGTACTTAAGTGGGGTGATGAGGTAATGTTTTTTTTATTATTTTTACTCCTTTTTCTTTATTATTTTTATTTAATATGATTAATTAATTGATTTTTTTTTAGTGCTTGTTTATAAAAAATTAACAAGTATTTATTGAATGTCATTTTTTTAGTGTAAAAAGTGAAATAATTAATGGTGTGAAAAATAATAATAAATTTAATTAATAATTTTATAAAAATAAATAAAAAAATAATATTCTTAGAAATCTGTATTGATTTGAAATTCTTAGAATAAATTGTTATCATAATATATATTTGTTTTCTTTAGAATGCAATCGATATGAGGTAATAAAGTCAAAGTAAATAATATATTAGTGTTGTAGAAAAAAAAAAAAGTTCAAGTTAATTAAATAATTTCACCTATTTAAAAATTTATTGGAGCAATAATTTATAAATTTGCATACTATTGAGCAATAAAATTTCATAACTTATATAACAATGTGTGTTTATCAGTAAAATATAACCAAGTCACTATTTAAACTTTTAATAAAAAAAATTTGATTTTAGTGATGAGTCACGTTGATGTTAAAAACAAAAATTACCATGTAATTGTTGATATTGAGACCGCAATTTTTATTTCCTCTACCAATTAATATTAATCAAGCTAATGACTTTGACAAATTAGATTTAGTTGGCATGTAAATTGTAGATTAATGTCTTTTTTTTTTTTTCAAGGTCGAATATATGCTGGTGAAGCTAAACCATGAAAAGAAAACGGCTAAATTGAGCCTGAGGTCGTATGAGCTCATGCTAAAACTCAATGAAAAGGAACAGGCTGATCCTAGGTATTAAAAGATTATCTTTTAATGATTATAATTGATTAATTTACTGAGTTATAATAATTTTTGTAAATATCTATTTTTTTTAGCGCGGTAAAATGCTTGTGGAGACCGGAATTCGGAGCTTATATGATTGAAGGGACTCCAGGACAGCCGTATGGAGGCTTAATGGCTCATTTTAATATTGTTGAGGCTAATATGAAACACCGAAGACTGGAAGCTGAGGAACAATTAAAGTCTGAAGAAATATTAATGACTTTTACTAATTTTTTGAGGTATTAATTTATTTTTTTTTAATCATAGAACTGATGCTCACATATCAGTAGTTGTCTTTACAATAATAAAAATAATAAATTTTAGAATTAATTAAAATAAAAATTTTTAAGGTGTAAAATATTTCAAAAATTCTTAAAATTAAAATAAAAATTAATACGGTATATACACACTCGGTAGTTTGGCTTGAAAACGGAACTTGGCGCCAGATTTTACCGAATCTGTGGATAGTAATATTAATTTACTAGCAACCTTGCAGTGACTGCCGTGACTGCCGTGACTTCTGAACTATAAAAAATTAAAATTTTGCTTTATTAAATAATGACTTTTGTTAAATTGCACTATACTTTCTTAAATATTAAAGTTTTTAAAGATATAAGCTCATTCCGATGTTACACTCATCAAGAGCTTTCATTTGAGTATCCACATGCATTTTTGATATATATCTCATATATAGGTATATATATAATATATATTTTAAAGATAGAAGTTTATCCCGATGTTACACTCATCCAAAGCTTTCATTTGAGTACCCACATGCATTTTGATATATTTTTCATATATTCATATATATAAATATATAAAATCCTTTATTAAAAAGTTGATGTGACGTTTTCATTGTTGTCGCTTTTCGTTGCTATGGTGACCACTTTAGCAACGGTTACCATAGAAACCGTTACTATAGCAACGGTTAATATGAAAACTGTTACTATGGCAACCATTACCGTAGCAATGATTACTATGGCAACGGTTGAATAGCAATGAGTAAAATTTGTGAAAATGTTGATTAATTAAATTGTCGATAATAAACATTCTGACAGAAGCGTACATAGCGCGTTTGATTTTCTAGTATATGAAAAATTGATGTGGGTAGTCAAATGAAAGGTCTCAATGAGTGTAATGTCGGGGTGAGCTTATATCTTTAAAAATGTCATTATTTCACGAGATATTTATTAAATTGCACTGTAATTTCTTAACTATTGACGTTCTTAAAGATATAAGCTCATCCCGATGTTATACTCATCAAGAGCTTTCATTTGAGTACCCACATGCATTTTGATATATTTTTCATATATTCATATATATAAAAATATATGAAAAATTGATGTGGGTACTCAAATGAAAGGTCTCGATGAGTGTAACATCGGGATGTGCTTTTATATTAGAAAATGTCAATATTTCACGAGCTACAAGGTCATTTCTTAATTATGTATCTAGAGATAGAGCATTTTCGAATGCAGCCTAAATACTTATCATAATAAATTGACTATCGGTGAAACTGATATCATACTTTAAAAAGGCACAAATTCAAGTCAAGACCTTTGCAATGACACTAAATTTCACTTAAAAAACCGATTTTATCATATGACTATCCTGAAAACAAAATTTTTCTTATTCTTTTAACAATATAGATTAAAAAAATTTTTTTTAATTAACAGACTAGGCAGTCCTGATTCAACAGAACCACCAGCAAACCCAACACCAGACACTGGATATCAAAGAAGTTTATTTCTTTCCGATGAAGCTGTATTTCCAGGTCATCCCCGTTTCAAGACACTTGCTACAAATATCAGACAACGTCGGGGTGAAAAAGTAATCATACATGTTCCCAGTAAGTATTTTTATAAAAAATATTTTTTCCAAATAAATAAAAAATTAAACTATTGCAGTTTACAAAGATGAAAACACTCCAAAGCCCTTCCGCGAAGATTTATCAGCTTTAGGCGATGACGGAAGCAGCGCAAAAGTCGCTAAAGATGACCACATCTACATGGACGCTATGGGATTTGGAATGGGCTGCTGCTGCTTGCAGGTGACCTTCCAAGCAAGCAACATCCGGGAAGCTAGGACTTTGTACGACCAGTTGACGCCTTTGTGTCCTATAATGGTTTGTACCCACTATCGCAAACGAAAGTCGACGATGGTCGTTTAAATTTTCGTTTATTTGTTAAACCTAAAAATTTTAAAACCAGGTAAAAAAATGTTTATTCAACGTTCAAACAGTTGGCTCTGACTGCTGCCAGTCCGGTCTACCGAGGGTACCTGGCAGACATCGACAGCCGGTGGTTTGTTGTCTCCAACTCCGTGGATTGTCGGACCAGAGGTGAGCGCGGGCTTGAACCACTCAAAGGCGAAGAGTTTATCATCAAGACCTCGCGATACGGTTCGGTCGAGTCCTACCTCAGCGAGCAGGGAGACAAATACAATGATACCAAGTTGCTCTATGATAAAGAGGTCTACAACCAGCTGATTGATAATGGAATTGATCATCTTTTGGCTCAGCACGTTGCTCATTTATTTATTCGGGATTGTGTTTGTCTTATGTCCACGCAGTTGGATCAAAATGATGAAACAGACACTGATCATTTTGAGGTGATTATTTTTAAAATTTATTTTTTATTAAAAATTTTTCTTTAAATATTGTTATTTAATAATTTTAAATTTCTATTTTTTTTTATTTTTGTATGAACATAAATAGGCCCCGCGGATAGAACTGTAAGCATCGATATTGTTTAGACTTACACAAATTCCAAATTCCATCGATTTAGCCTGTATTTTTCATCCAGGTGATTTTTCTCACTAATATTCATTGTAACTTTCAATGTGCAATCATTATAACATTTCCGTGCCTTTCTTCCAAAAATTAATAATAATTGACATGAAGAAAAAAATTTGAAATGAGCATTGAAAATTTAAGTTAAAGTCATTGCAAGTCTCATATGTGACGTTGAAATCTGTCTAGGTTCAATTGCGACGAATTTTCTGTTATCTAAAATTTATTCCGTGAAATTAACTTTTTATAGAAAATAAAATGTAAAATTGAAATTTTAAAATTGCATTTAAAATGTAAAATAAATGTAAAATTCTTAGTCCGTTGATTGGATAGCTACATGTAAAGTTAAGTTTTGGAAACCTCTCAATGACTTTTTCTCCGCTGTCAAAAAGACGATTGTTGTAAGGAAATAATACACAAATATCCCTACACACACGAAGATCTCCACCAAATTTGGAGTCTGTAGAAGTTACAGGTTGGAAATTAAAATTCTAGATTTTAACACCTACCTCCGCAATTCCTGTCGGAAGTAGACTTTATTGAAATCCATTTTGAGATGATCTTTATGTGAATAATAGAAAATTCCTACCATATTTAGAATTTTTAGAAGCTATATTTCGAAATTGAAATTTTTTATTGTTAACACCCACCCCCGCGAACCTTATTGGAGGTGATTCATTGTAAAATCTGCTCTAAGATCATTTTTATATTACATATAGAACACTCTCACTAAATTTGGAGTCTATAGGAGCTATCGCTTGGAAATTGAAAATTTTCATTGTTAACGCCCCCGCAATCTTCTGTGGGGTGGGATATCGTAAAATTTGTTCATAAATTATTTTTACATCACTTATAGAAAATTCCTACAAAATTTGGAGCTTGTAGGAGCTTTAGCTGGAAAATTAAAAATATTAATTGTTAATACCCACCCCCGCAACCCCCTGCGGGGTGAGCTATCGTAAAATTCGTTCATAGCCTATTTCTACACCTCTTACAGAAGATTCCTACCAAATTTGAAGTCGATAGGAGCTATAGTTTGAAAACGGGAATTGTTCATTGTTAACGCCCCCGCTTTTCCCTTTGGGGGATGAATTTCTTAAAATCTATTCATAGCTGACCTTTACATAGCAAAAGTAATATTCCTACCAAGTTTCACGTTTCTAAGTCTTATGGTTCCCGAGATTTCGTGGTGAGTGACTATATAGATGGGAATTCTTCGATTATCATCGAAATTTTTAACTTTTTATCGGACTTTTTTAAAATTTTCTTACATACAAAACTTACTCCTGACAATTCTAAAAATAAAAAAAAGCCCAATTGGTCCAGCCGTTCTCCACTACCGTGAGTCGATTCTTAGCTGAATGTAAAAAACCATAATCCGTTTAATATACTCTGTTGAAATCCATGAAAACAAAAGAATCAAGAGAAAATGCTTATCTTTTGTTTTTATTAGCGGGATAAATGTTCATAAAAGTAAAACAGCAATAAAAAAATGACGGAATGTTGGAATTCAAAAAATAGATAGCCATAAACCATCTAGGAAAAATTTCGCATCGAATGGTGGTAGTTTCATGTCGATACGATCAGTGGTTTAGGCGTGATTGAGCCTCAAACGAAGACCATTTTCATTATATATATATATAGATTTTTGTCAAAATATTTTTTTTTTTTAATTTTAGTTAAAACATTTTTAAATTTTTTTTTTATTAAAAATTTTTGTCGAAATATTTTTTATTTAAAATTTTGGTTAAAATATTTATCTAAAATTTTTGTTAAAATATTTATTTAAATATTTTATTTTATATTTAATATTTTTGTTAAAATATTTTTTCTTTAATATTTTGGTTAAAATATTTATCTAAAATATTTTTTAATTTTTTTTTTTATTTAATAATTTTATAAAAATTCATTTTAGAACTTACAATCAACAAATTGGCGTTCAATGCGTTTCAAGCCTCCACCACCAAACTCCTCAATCGGATGGCGAGTAGAATTCCGACCTTGCGACGTCCAAATGACTGATTTTGAGAATGCAGCGGTAGTGTGTTTCATCGTGCTGCTATCACGAGTAATTCTCAGCTACAATCTCAATTTACTGATACCCATAAGCAAAGTAATCGAGAACATGTCACGAGGAGAGAAGCGAGACGCAGTAAACAAAGAAAAATTCTGGTTCCGGAAAGATATCACTTCGACGGGCGAGAAAGATAACGCCTTAGAGGCTGATCAGTACGGGGAGTTTACTGTTAATGAAATAATAAACGGCAAGGACGGCGTGTTTGTCGGGTTGATTCCGCTTATCAATAGCTACTTGAACAACATGAACGTCGACGCAGACACTCACTGCACTATCCAGCGCTATCTCAAGCTGATTAGGAAACGCGCCTCTGGTGAGCTGATGACTACCGCAGCCTGGATTAGGAAGGAGGTCATCAATCATCCAGAGTACAAAAAAGACTCGGTGGTCAACGAGACTATGACTTACGATATTATCAAGAGTGCTTACGAGATCCAGAAGGGAGTCAGATCTTGCCCGGAGTTGCTGGGCTTCTGCACTACTTCGAAAACTACCGAAACTATTCCAGCGGCTATTGCCATCGCTGAGAAATGTCACTTGGTCAATTAATTCATTCGGTTTTTTTTTTCAACACAGTATTTAGTTATTATTGATTGTAAAATATTTAAGAATAATTTTTTAACTAGATTATTAGGGGCGTAAAACTTAAATATTTTTTCATTATTTATAAAGTAGTTACAGTGGAAGTTTAATTATTTTTTTTTTGCATTGGAAAATATTATTTTTAAACACTTATACACTTTAAAAATTTATATTTACTTATTAGCATTGTCAGATTTTTTAAAAATCAATCTACAAAAATTTATACAATTATTAAATTTATAAAAATAGTGTAAAATTGTATGGGGATATTTTTTTATACTAAAAAAATTTTTTTTTTTTGGGATTTTAATTAAAAATTATTTGAATTAATGGCTATAATTTTTTTATATAAATATGTATAAAATAAATATAAAAAAAATGCATTTATAAATTAAAATAAAAGTGGTATTAATAATGATAACCTTTTAACTCAATTGATAAAAATATATATTATTTTCGCTAATTAATTGTTAAAAGAAAAAAATAATTATAGTTTCCATTTATATAGAAATTTTTTATTAAATTATTTAGTTTAAATAAAATATATAGATCACAACTTTAAATTAAATTTACATACTTAAATTCTTGATGATTGAATGAGTACTAAGTTTTAAATTACGTTAAATTATTATTAAATAAACTTTAACAACCATAAATAAATTTACATGCCTTTTTAATTATTCACTATTGCTACGTAGATCTATAAAAAGGTAAATGCGTCGTTACGTAACAATTTCATCTGAGTTATGTGTGAAAATAATTATTCTCCGACCGATATTTAAGTTTCAACAAATATTGCTCTTGATAAATATTATATTTATAGAAAATTACTCAGCAGTTTTTTAGATATTTACAATTAAAATTCATTTAAAAATAGTTTATCAGTGACTAGGATTAAGATAGTCAAGTTAAGATTTTTACTATGCGCATACTAATTTTCCTGCTACTGCTTGATAATTGCAAATTCAACGCAGCATAAAGTGACAGTCGACGGCTGGTATCAGACTCAGTTATAGTGTGTCAGCGGTCAGAGTAAGTCAATTTAAAAAATTGAGTTAGCTGGCATTTACAAATTTTTAGAATTTTTTTTTTTTGTTGAAAAAGTTATTTAAAAAAAATAAAAAAACAATTTTTATTCGTAAAAAACTTGAAAAAATATAAGTGTAATTTTTTGAAAATATTTTTTAGTTATAATTTAATAAATAAAATAAAAATAAAAAATTTCGGCTAAATTTAATATTATAAAATCATGAAAATTAAGTTAGCTGACATTTAAAAACTTAGAATTTTTTTCTATTGAAAAAAATTAAAAAAAAAAAATTTTATTTGTAAAAAAAATAAAAAAAAATCTTTATTTGTAAAAAAATAAAAAAAAATTTTTATTTGTAAAAAATTATAAGTACAATTTTTTAAAAATATTTCTTAATTCTAATTTAATAAATAAAAAAAAATAAAAACGTCAGCTAACTTTATCATTATGAAATTACAATATTTATTTACATATTGGAGTATTAATTTCAATCAACAAGTGTGCTGATATAATACTTGATTATTATTTTTCAAGTCTAGATAATCCGATAAATATGGGCCAACTCACAGAAGGTAAAGTACTGACTTGGGAAGAAATAAAAAAAATAAAGGACTACGTTCGTGAGCATGGAATAATTCAATTTATCAATTTGTACAAAAGATGCAAGGACAAACAAGATAATGACTTCAAATGGGGCGATGAGGTACTAATTCAATTCAATTTAATTAAAAAAAAATTAACTATCTGCGTCACAAAGTTGACAGTAAATTAAAAAATTAATGTATACTCTTTTTAATGTAAATTACGCGTTAATTTGCAATTTAAATTAATATAATTAATTTTTCAGATTGAATACACAATAGTTAAATTTGACGACTTGGAAAAATCGGCAAAATTAAATTTAATATCCCACAAACTGATTGTTGAATTAAACAAAAAAGAAAATGAGTCTCCTGAGTATGTTTTTTTTTTAATCTCAAGATTAACTTTTAAATTTTTACTCACGAGACATTTATCTTCAGGTCAGTGGAGTGTCTCTGGAGGCCAGAGTTCAGTTCTTATCAAATAGAATCAACTCCGGGAAAACCGTTCGGTGCATCATTAAAAGATTTCAATAATGTTGAGGCAAATATGTTGAATCGTCGAGTCGAGGCGATGGAATTTCTCAAGCCTGGAGAAAGGCTAATAACAATAACTTCATTCCCAAGGTTTGTACGAATAAACAAACTTTCGTACTAAAAATAGAGTAAAGAAAGTTAATGTTAAATTTTTATTCCAGATTGGGCTGTTCCAATTCTAGCGAGCCTCCTGGCAAGCCAACGCCTCACTCTGGGCTCATCAGAAGTTTGTTTGTCCAAGAAGGAACTCTTTTTCAGGGCCACAAAAGGTGGCATGCAATTACCGAGAATGTAGAGCTCCGTCGAGGAGAAAAAATAGAAATTAATGTTCCAAGTAAGTTTCTTCTTCTTCTTCTTCTTCTTAATTTTTATTTAATAATAATATTATTATTATTAATTACTGACGAATAATTATCGTCAGTTTTCCAAGACAAAAATGTCCCAAAGCCATTCAGAGAAGATTTTGGGCCTCTGGGTGATGACGGAGAAGCTCAGAGACTTGCCAAGGACGACCATGTCTACATGGACTCTACAGGATTCGGAATGGGAGGCTGTTGCTTGCAAGCAACGCTGCTTGGTAGAGATCTCACAGAAGCCCAGGTCTTATATGATCAACTGACAATATTCTGTCCTGTGATGGTAAATATTAAAAAGAAAAAAAATTAGTATTGAATAATAATAATAATAATAATAATAATAATAATAATAATAATAATAATAACTAGCAACCTTGCAGTCACTATGTGATTGTTGTGACTTGTGAACTATAAATAAATAAAATTTTGCTTTATTAAATAATGACTTTTGTTAAATGGCGCTGTATTTTTTTTAACTATTGATGTTTTTAAAGTTATAAGCTCATCCCGATGTTACGCTAATCAAGACCTTTCATTTGAGTACCCACATGCATTTTGATATATTTTATATGTATACATATATAATATATATAAATATATGAAAAATTGATGTGGGTACTCAAACAAAAGGTCTTGATGAGCCTTACATCGGGATGAGCTTATATCTTTAAAAATGTCAATAGTTCACAAGATACAAGGTCATTTCTTAATTATGTGTCTAGAGATAGAGCATTTTCGAATGCAGCCTAAATACTTATCATAATAAATTGACTATCGGTCAGAATGATATGAAACCTTGAAAAGGCACAAAATCAAATCATGACCTTTGAAATGACACTAAATTTTACTAAAAAAACCGATTTTATCATATGACTATCCTGGATACAAAATTTTTCTTATTCACTTAATTATATAGATAATAATAATAATAATAATAATAATAATAATAATAAAAATAGGTAGCACTTACGGCAGCAGCTCCCATATTTCGCGGTTATCTTACTGAGGTTGATAACCGATGGATACCGTCGCTTGGAGCGACTGATGACAGAACGCGAGGAGAACGAGGTCTGGAGCCTCTGAAGCCTCGAGAGCTGTTGATGAGAACTGGAAGAAACGGATCCGTCGAGTGGTACCTCAGTGAAGAAGGCCAGCGGTACAACGATCTTCCTCTGAGTTACGACGACAAGTGGGTGAACCTGATGATGAAAAATGGAGTCGGAAAAGCTCTTGCTCAGCATGTTGCTCATCTGATGTCGAGAGACCCAGTGTCAATTTTGTCGACCCAGATTTACGTAGACGACCAAACTGAAACAACCTGTTTTGAAAATATCCAAGGATCGACTTGGAGATCGATGAGATTCAAGCCACCACCGAGTAATTCGGATATCGGGTGGAGGGTCGAGTTCCGTCCGATGGACATCCAGATGACGGACTTTGAAAACGCAGCTGCGTGCTGCTTTGTAATTTTGCTGGCCAAGATAGTTCTTCATTTTAATTTAAATGTCTTGATTCCGCTGAGCAAGGTCGAGGACAACATGATGAGGTCGCAGAAACGGGACGCTGTCAATAAGGAGAAGTTGTGGTTCCGTAAAGACATAACGTCCCATGCAACAGATCAACCGATTGATCAAGAGTACGATGAGTTTACGGTTGATGAAATTATAAATGGAAAACAAGGCTTTGTAGGCATCATACCGCTGATTAATTCTTATGTTGATGATATGAAGGTCGACGCTGAGACTCGGAGGACCATTGACCAGTTCTTGAATCTTTTTAGCAAGCGAGCCAAGGGAGAACTTCTGACCGACGCTGCGTGGATGCGGAAGCAAGTTCTCACTCATCCAGAGTACAAACACGACGCTGTTGTTTCCGAGCGTATTAACTATGATCTGCTGAAAAAAATCGATCTGATCGCTCGTGGCCATCAGACATGTCCAGATTTATTTGGGTCTCATGCTCTCAAAAAATTACCCTAAATAATTATCTCAAAAATAATTTTTTAAATATTTATATAAAAAATAATACTTATACACACATTTTAAAATCTCACCAAGTACATTATTATGTTGTATTATTTTTTTTATTCAAAGTGTCTCTGTTGGTTCTAAAAGACACGTAAGTATTCCAGAAGACAGCCACTGATTGAACGAATAGTACTTGATAATGTAACGGTACAAATGTAAAATTTACCAACTGGACCATTGGCCATAACTGTATCAAAATAAATAAATGTTTATGAAATTGAAATTTTAATTATTAAATTTTAAATAAAAGTAAAGTTGGCCGACATTTTTTTTAATAATTAAAATAGAACAAAAAAATATTTTTAAAAAAATGCACTAACAGTTTTTACAAATGAAAATTATTTTAATTTTTTTGTAATAATTTTTTCAATAAAAAAAAATTCTAAAAATGCATAGATGTCGGCTAATTTAAATTTCATAAATTTTAATTACCTTGTAATTGTTTATAAGAATATCTTTGTACTCATTAGACAGCTTAGTTTTTATTCCATTGATATCATTGCCTTGCATCAATCCGATCGAGCTTAGCAAAACGACGATAAATGTTGGAGCAAACAGTAATTGGTCACAAGCAACTTTTTTTAAAGCAACTACTGTTCCTTTGGAGCCAATATATTTATCAAGCACTCCGTACCACGTTCTTGTTGTTGGTCCCTGCTTTCAATTAATTGGAATTATTATTAATTTTTTGTATCATTATAACAATAAAACACTAGAGTTAATTGACATTAGAAATTTTTAGCAATTAAATTATTATGAAAAAAAATTAAATTAAAATATTCCACATGTGAAAATTAAAAAAAAAAAATTAGGGAAATTTTTTTTTTGTTATTGAGTTGTTATAAAAATAAAAAAAATTGACAGTTGTTAGATAACTTTACTATCATACAATTGCTATACACTCACACCAATAAAAAATCCAATTGCATAAAATTTAGCCGTCCGCATCAAGTCCAGGTCATTGAAACTCCGATTCTCAACTAAATTCTGGGCCATTTGATCTCCAACAGCCATCAAAGCTCCTAAAAATATTTATACATCAATAAATGTCAAAAATTAAATTTTAAATAATTAATTTTATAATTACCAGCTTGCAGAGCTTGCAATCCCAATGGGTATTTAACCAAGAGTTGTTTATAAAATTTTAAAAATCTACTCATTTTATTTACTTGTTCATTATTTTGGAGGTTAAGTTGATAAACACATAGTGCGCATATAATCAGAGTAGTATTGTCAAGTTTTTTATTAAACTATAAACATGTCATATTTATATGACGTTAAAGTTAGTAGTCACTGGACAATTTTTTAAAAACAAATTTGATTCAAACAATTATTTGTAAAAAATTGCATTTTTCTTTTTTTATTAATTTTTAAGTATATGTATATGTCAATTTTTTTTGCTATAATTGATTCGTTAAAAAATTCTTAAATTTATTCAATGAACACAAAGTAAATTTTGCGCATGCGTACCTTTCTGATTCGAGCACTCGGCTCGGCACAACAGTTAAGGCATTAGTCATAATTACATTTTCAAGTTTGAGGTCATCAAAAACTGCAACACAGGTCATCCCAAGTTCAACAAACTGCACTACAATTCGGTGGGCTAGGTTGTCGATCAAATCAGGAGTTGTTCTAATCTCTATCACTCGAGCGCCCTCGTCCATAGACGTGCCACTCTCAGCTCAACAAATTACATTTGTCATGAAAATTAATTTAGCTGTCACTTAAAAATTTTTTAATTTTATTTAACAAACAAATGTGCTCCAAAAAATTATTTTTAAAAAATTGCATTTTTAATTTATTAAAATTTCTACATGTCAATTTTTTTTTTCATTTTTTTTTCCATAATTTATTTGTTAAAAAATTATCAAAATTTAATAAATATCCGCTAAATTAATTTTAATACATTTGCCAAAAGTTTAAACCAACACGTGGTGATCATATGTAAATAACAAACTTACCAAGTTCAAAATATTGTGATGTAGAATATGTTGACGGCATTCATCTCGTTAAATTTATTCAACAGCGACGCTACTGCCAGCCACATTATTATGATAATAATAGTTAGTTGACAACTGTCAATTTTTTTTTAATTTTATAAAAAATAAATTTAAATAAAAAAAATTATTCTTAATTTTTTTTTTAATTTTCATGCATGGAATTTTTTTTCATAATAAATTTTATAAAATTTAAAAAAAATTTATAATGTCTGTCAACTTCAGTGTCAATGACTATATTTCAATAATTATTAAAATGATGAAGACAATTAATAAAAAAACTTCATGAAAATAAAGTTAGCCGACATCTAAAAATATTATGATTTTTTTTATTAAAAAATTATTACAAAAAAATTATAAAAAAAATTTTTTCATTTGTTCAAAACTTCAAAAACTATAAGTGCAATTTTTTAAAAATATTTTTTATTTATAATTTAATAAATTAAGAAAAATAATAAAATCAAAAATGTCGACTAACTTTAATATTATAAAAACTTCAGGTGATCTTCACTTGGGTGTTCTAAAGACAGCGCTGTACAATTATTTGTTCTCTCGCCAGCACACTGGAGACTTTCTGCTGCGAATTGAGAATACTGACCAGACCATATTGCAACTTGGAGCTACGATGAGGCGGCAAAACAACTCGATCTGGGCAGAAATAATCCCGGATGAAGATCCAGTGAGAGGAGGACCATTGAATCATATTTGATTTTTTTTTTTAGTCACAAAAAAATAATTACTATGTCTCTGTTGCTAATTATTATAAATAATGAATCATTTGTTGTTCAAATATAAAATTAATTTGAGTAAAATATTTTAATTTTAATTTTATAAATACAAATTTTACAGTTTTCAAACAAGAAGAACTTGTTGGAGTATTTAGATCAAACCTTTGTTTATAATTAGATATTAAACTCTTCCTTCAGTGTAATTATTTCAAAAAAATAAAACTAGATAGATATTTTTGGAGCATTTTAAATTAACTTTTATGGCACTTGTTGGCTAAAATTAAAGGAGTTTACTATAGCCTCTGTGAGGCAATTATAAAAAAAATAAATATTCTTCACTGGGTGTCTACTTCATTGGCTGCCATCTAAACACCTTCGCTCGGGACTTGATGGGCTGCTGTATCATGTACTTCAAGCAAGGGGTCACTCCCATCTCTTGTGAGTTTAAGAAATTTACCAACGAGTTGGCAAATTTCTTGTACTGGTTCACCTCTTAGTGTCTGTAGTAATAACCAGTCAAAGTCTGCTCCTGTTTTTCTACCCATCCAATTCAAGACAAAACTTCTCACCTCTGCCTTGACACTATTCAGTAATGTTCTGCATCTGAATATGTGCTCTAAGGTCTCTTCTTCACCTTGGCATAAACGGCATAGCCAATCCCTGTAGCCCTTCTTTCCTGCCTTTCCTAAGTTGCCACATCTGATTCTGCACCAAGTTAATTTCATCCAACTTGGTGTTTTTCTGTCTATCCAGTACGGTTCAGTTTCCATACAGGTCTTGAGGAATTTAAACCAGGGGTTGTAAGACGAATCCATGATTTTTTTGTTCTCTTCCTCTCTCATTGTGGCTTGAAGGTGGAGCAAGCCCTCCTGCAATTTCTGTTCTATCTGGCTCACTTCCACTTTATCCCATATCATCTTTATTATATCCTTGCAGCGCATTTCTGCTAGGGCCTTGGTCAGCCTGCTACCCCACTTTGAAGACCTGCCATTCAAGATCTGCCTCTGCATTCTTCTCTTAGTACGACTTTTGGCCATCTGCCTTCCTCCATTCTCATCACATCTAGAAGATACCGGCTTGCTCTCTCTCTATAGATATATTTTAAATTTTCAAGCCCACCCTCACACCTCCAGATATATTCTGGAGTGTTTCTAGCTAGGCCCATCGCTGCTTTACAGTATCTGCTATACACTGCCTCTATTGCCTTGCTGCCTTCCCAACCCCAAATCTCTACTCCATAAAGTGCCCCCGATCTTACCAGGGAGTTGTAGAGATACATCCTGTCTTTGAGTGAGTTCCTGCCTGTTCTCTCAATGAGCCCCCACGTAGAGTTTAGAGCTTTCTTGGCCTTGGCTGCCATCTCGTTGGTGTGTTTCCTCCAGCTGTTGCTGCTGGAAATCCAGCAGCCCAGGTATTTGAAGTCTTTCACTTCTTCTAGCTGGTTATCTCCATATTTCCAATTTGCAGAGGATTTCCTGCCTTTTCCGGCGCCGATTACTAGCACTTTTGTCTTTTTTGTGTTAACTCTGAGAGAGTTTTTGGCTGCATAATTTTCCAGGACTTTTAACATCTGCTGGAGACTTACTTCAAGTCGATCCAGGAAATCAGTGAAGTCAACAATGGAGAGGCTAGGTGGTGCGTAGCAGCTATAGAAGCGGATGCCCTCTACTGATACTGCTACAGAGCCGGCATAGCTGTTGTCGACTGCATTTTGGAAAGGGAGCTTGCCACATGACCAGATGACAGCTTTGGATGTGCTGTCAGATTCCCAGGGTTGGGTACTCAGGTTTATATGGTGTAACAGTGCAAATTGATATACTCGTGCTCGTGCAGGAGCCTTGCGTACCAGCGTTCGTCAGTTTCATTTTCAGGTACTAGGCGGCGCGGTCGCTTGTTTTAATTCTCGGAGTGGGGAGCTTGGGGCCTAAAAAGAGTCAGTCGAGCGGTGGAACAGGCAGTCGATCTTCGAGCGTACAACCCGAAGGATCTCAAAAGAAGCCAGGGGGCTAATCATTATCCAGATGGAGCGAGTTGTACTAGCGAAGACGAGGTCGGCTCAGTTAGGGATAGTTTAGTTTAATTAGTTGTGATCTGCGAGCTAACTGGTTAGCATCCTAGAAGTGATTCAGTTGTGTGTTAATCAGGCTATGGCGAAGACCAGGCCATTAAGTAATTATTCTATTCTGGGGATCTAGTTTTATAGTTAATTGTCAAGTCATTAATAGTAGAGTCTTTGGAAATAAACCTGTTAACTGTTTGATTTAATTGTGTTTGTGCCGTGCCAATAATTTCGACAACCGAGCCTCTTTCCTCATCATTTAGTAATAATTAGTTAAGTTGATTATATTCTGTGACCGAATATCAGTTTTGGATTACCCACTCCCTGAGTGTGAGCTAGCCTTAGTAACTCGGTTCCAGGAGGCTGAGTGAACTCAACACCAATTAACTCTTCTGGTGGCGTCCAGAACATCTCTGGCGTGAACGGGATACCTTGGTCAGGGGGTCACGAAACCTGCTAAGGTATCACTGTTTTAATGGCTCTGCTATCAGTACCAAGTCAAGCTCTAATTTTCGCACGGATTGCATGAGCAGGTCATGCGCTGCCTCACAATGGTTGAGATTGAGCTGCAGTATCCTCATGTTTGTTTGTTCGTCAACTTCTGGAGCGCCTCCTGAAATACCGGGCATCTGTGGGTGCCGGCATGGTGAGCCACGTCCTTTGCTCCTTGCTGCTCAGCACATATTGCACACTTGGCAGAATTTTTACAGTCAGCGATACGGTGCTCTTCTTGTCCACATCTGATGCAGAGTTTAGACCGGTCTACTTGGCTTATACATTGGGGCCCAACATGTCCAAAGTGCCAGCATTTAAAGCATTGGACTGGCCTTCTAGTTGCTCTTATTCGGCAATTGGCCCAGCCAATCCTTATTTTGCCGCTTCCTTCCAGTATCCTCCGTGCTGCAACTGCTGGTAGTGTCACGACAGCGGTCTGAGTACCTCTGTAGGACTTACGAATCTTAATTGTTTCTAATGGTATCTCGCAGGACTCTTCAGTCACCGTTCGCAAGGCGGTTTGAATGTCCTCCTTGGTTGTGGTATCGTCAAGGTCTCGGATTTCAACGTCTTCCTGTGGCCCTTTACAGATTACTTGGGCGTCTTCTTTGAGAATATCCACAATGGTCTTCTGCAAGGCTTGGCCTTTGTCAGTGCTCTTCCTAGAGAGGGTAATCAGCATGTTTCGTTTGTGCGGTTTTTTCCGCTTAGGCTCCAGCTGCAGTTCTTCCGGCAATTGCTTTGGAAGTTGCTTTTTGCCTTGCTTCCTTTTTTCCTTCTTGGATTGGACCTTCTGCCACTCAGACGCCTCCTTCTTATCGGCGTTCTGTGCCGCCATGTTTTTTGGAGGGCTTGGTTTCAAGTACTTCTTCTTCGTTGTT